GGCACAAAAAGTTCCTTGAATGTAATTACAGCGTCAAGCCGTTCAATCCATCTGGTTTCACAAAGCTTCATTAGTCGTCGCTTTTTTGTTTCACACTCTAATTGGTGGATTACATCCTTTAATATGCTTTGTCGTTGTGCCGATATACGGAAAAAGTTTATGGTCTCTTTTATCGATCCAAGACTGTTCCTGATAATAGGAATGTTGCATGCGTCACTCACAACTAAATTTAATGAGTGACTAGCACAATGTACATACAATGCCTGAGGATATTTTTCCATAACTTTGGCAGCACACCCTTGAAATTCTCCACTCATTGCTGCCGCTCCGTCGTATCCTTGGCCTACTAAATATTTTAGATTCAACTTTAAATTTTGACATGTTTCCAATAAAGTACACATAAGTCCTTTTCCGGTAACATCATTTACAGGAACAAAAGATAGAAAATCCTCTTTTAAAATACTTCCGCTGTTAGTTTTTTCAATGTAACGAACACATAACGAAAACTGTTCAATGCCGCTGATATCAGTAGTTTCGTCAGCTAGTAAACTAAAACATTCTGCTTCGTTACATTTTGAGACAATCTTATTTAAAATTACTTTTCCACATATTTCTATTAATTCGTTTTGAATTTTTGGACTGGTGTAACTAGTAGAACGATTTGATGGCATTGCTTCTATTCGTAATAGATGATCATTTAAAGTATTGTCTCCTGAATCTACACGAAAACGCAACAACGCACGGAAGTTTCCGTCATTATGGTTTGAAACTTTCGATAATATTGGACCTGAATCACGATGACCTCTTAAGGCAATTTCTTGCCTTCCAATTAAAATGATTGTTTCAGCAATAGACGATAAAATTTTCCTGTTTTGTTCGATTGTCGCTAAACGGGCTGTATTAAGCTGAAGGCTAATATCAACGATTTTTTTTTCGTGTACATCTATAAAATTCTGAGCAACTATACAAGAAGTTTTATGATATTCTAAATTTGTGTGATAACGGAATTGCTCTTTTGCATCTTTCCAACGACAGAATGGAGTCACTACGAGGGACTTTGTAGAGATATGACTTCCTTTTCCCACTTCTTTAGAACAAAATAAAAAACAGAATACGCAAAAAGCACCGTCTAATTTTTCTGAATACGAAAGCCAAGGGAATTCTAGTAACCAGTTTCTTTGGAATTTAAGTTTTCTTGTTCCACTGATAGGAAATTTATAAAATTCATTTGGTATCCATCGATTTTTCAAAATCTTATACTTTTCATCATTAGTACACGTTTTTTCTACATAGACACCAATATCATAATTATAAGTTTGCGAGTGTATTTGTGTACTGGTACTAAGTTCTGACTCATTTAAACCTATTAAGTATTAATAATAGTTTTAGTTTAACATTCGTTAATATATAATTATATAATTTATATATAATTGGTCTCGAGTATCAGCATCTATCATTTATGCTATATGCCCCTATAAGACCATACGCCGTAGTAGATAGTAGATAAATAACTTATGAAATTATAAAATTATAAAATTTTTTTTTCTAATAATTATAGTGTATATAATAATATATATTGGCCTGCTGAAAATTTTTTTTGGCCTGCTCTGATGTTAGTATACCTTTCAAAAAGTTGAAATGACGCCCCTGAGTAGGTATTAATAATAATTATAATAACAATAGCCTTACCTGAACTAATTTCATTTATTTCGTTATTATGATCACGATCATGCTGGTCTCTATTCACTATATCAAGTTTAGGTTTTTTTACTATCCACTTATCCATTGTTAAATTTTAATATACTTAAACCTTTTAATAAAATATACTTAAACTTTTATACAAATATACAATAGTTCGTACTTCGTATGCAACTGTAGTTTTGTTTGTCACTATAAGTTTAATATAGTTCAATGGTTGATAAAATAAACTGGAAGGCACTGTCTCGGTAATACATGAAAACGATTGTATTGACAAACGTTAACGATTGTCGATTATAGATTAAAGTGGCTAACAGCCTAACACACTAGGTGATTAATCGCACAAAATAAAATACGTTTTACGACGACGATAAAAGATAATTACACCGATCGTCCACGTCCATATCTACAATATGTCAATATCTTCGTGGAAATACTCATATTCCCGTAGGTACCCACATTAGATAATGTAAGCTGACAAGCTGTACTATTAATAATATTTATAATTCAGAACTCAGTATTTGAGAAAAGTAGAGTACAGTACAATTAATATACAGGTACTAGAAATTTTAGTTTTCTCATAATAAATTAAATCATCCATTAATTTCGGGGGGGGGGGGGGGGGGGGGGTTATCCCCAACCCCCCCCCCCCCCCCGTTAGTACGCCACTGAGCAGTATTAACAATTTTGTTGCTCTGTAGCTTCTCAGCATCAACTACCTGAAGATATGAGATATAGAAATCATAAAATACTTATTTATTATTTTATTATAGGTTTGGTGGTATACTCAAGATTAAAAGTTCTGACATTATGTTATTTTTCATTTTTTACTAACTGTATGTACCTACCTCGTTTTTTACATTGTCTATCATCAGTTTTATTCTTTTTGACATGGTTGATACTAACTAATATATTAACAATTAAATTTTAGTGTAAATATGGAAAAACATTAAGAAAATAGCAAGAGTACTGAGTAATTATGGTCAAAACTATATTCAACAATTTAGGAAATGATGTAAAGAGTCTAATAAAGTATGAATGTGTAAATCAGTCTAATAAAACCAATGTAAAAAATATAATTAACAAAAATCGTATAAAAAATATAATTACTAAAATAGTAAATGACCTAGATGAGAATGTGTGTAAAAATCAATTATTAAAAAGTATCTATGTGTAAATATAAATGATTATCTATTAGTATTGTTTAGTTATATAATTATAAGATAATGTTATTTAGAGAAGTTAAATACATCATTCTCAATTGTATAAGACACATGACATTTTATTATATTATATAAGTAATATGTGTAGGAACTCCGTATACCAGAAACGAGATTGCTCAGTTGGTATACGTATCAGCTCTTATCACTATTATTGTATTATTTTAACTTTTGTAATTTGACTATTGTATTATTGTATTGAAATAATGATATTGATTTTGCTGAAATAAATAAAAAAAAAAAAAAAAATTTAAGTAAAACAAAAATAAAATATGTGTAATCATCAATGATTCAATTTCATTGTTTCGACCTTATAACCAAGTTTTGGCGCGCATAATAATTAATGTTTTGAGGTTATAAACGATTATTTTTTTTTGTAATTTTGGTTGGCAAGTCGATAATATGTTAAACAAAAAACCTTAATCACATATTAAAACTAACTAATTTAGTAAATTTCAACAATAAAAAAAAATTTAAAGACATAGCTGTTTTTGATTATAGTACATTTTGCATCAATACATTTTCCGTCCTATACCATTTACATAGAAAATAGTACATTTTGCATCATGGACGGAAATAGTACCTTTTGAAAAATTGATGTAATTAGTACGTTTTGACCACATTTTTTTACTTTTTACTACGGAATCTATGGAAAATAGTATGTTTAGATTCAAACAGTAAATAGTTCATTTTGACAAAATTAATATTGTGCAAATAGTACGTTTTGCTTCAATTGACTATTTTAAAATCGGTTATTGAATGAGAAATAGTACGTTTTTACCTAATCTGATGATGCCAATCGATCCGACACCATTTTAAACATATATTTCAATGCATAACTCAATTTTGACAAAAATTCAAATAGTACGTTTTGTATTGTCACCCCACAATTGAACAAATCCTCTTTGATGATATTTATTGTATTTATTTAATGTAAACAGTGTTATGGAAAATATTCTAAGTCCAAATAATTATGTTTATTGACTTAAGCGAGTTGTGACTATGAGAATTTAGTGACTGTTCAAATTGAGGCTGGTTGTTCGTCTGATGAACGCTTGTCCATCAGCTCTCCTCGATGGGTCTCTCCAGTCCCTTCCACAGATTCACATGACCATACATGGTCATCCTGCGGTTAGGCCTATTGTGGGATTTGTCACCCGGTCGTCGCTGCATGCGCCGGATGTCATCAGATAACATCTTGTCATTTAGTATAACAGCACAAATCCTAGTTCACAGTATTTTAGAATTATTTATATACGTAGTCATATATCTATTGCCGCGCGCCGTTCATGGTCATGCGTTCGATATTATTATCTTCGCGCTGTATATATGCTGTCGTCGCTCCACTACACACGTACTGTATACATGGTGCCAGCGACATTATTATTATTACTATAATTGACTTTTACGCGAGAAACGCTCGCGTATTACTATTATATTATATTTACGCGGCGCGTCTATTATATGATTATATGATTACGTACATAATATTAGAATGAGATTTATATTGTTAAATAGTTATTTAACATAGATATTCGGAAAGCCAGGAAAATTTACTACCCGACTAGATAAATTCCAAGAACCACCGGGCTTTCTATGTAACCGTACTTAGTAAACGAAAGCGCCAGGTGACTAATGCCGGTATGACGCGAAACGTATACGCGCGTCAAGGGACTAATGCCGGTATGACTTGAAACGTATACGCGCGCGTGGTTTTTGATTTTTCCGGCAGTGTTCCGGAAGGAGTCGAAAGACTTAACATATATATTCGGAAAGCCAGCAAAATTTACTACTAGACGAGATAAATTAAAAGAACCACCGGGCTTTCTAAGTAACCGTACTTACCATAGGCGTGCGCAGAGTTTCAAGTCGGGGGCAGCAAATATTTTAACCGGCCCATACATGTGCCAAGTTGGGTGTAAAGTTAACATTTTTAAGCTCAAAATCAAAATTTAACCTTTGACCTTTAAATAAAACTATTTTAAACGATTATCATTGATCAATCATAGATTGTTTTTGCTCAACACCGGTATACCATATCAAAATTAACAATACATCAAATATTAATATTATTCTTTATTATTATAATACAAGCCGACGTTTAATTGGGAATGAGTGTTTAAATTCATCAATCACACTATTTACATCAACACTATTAGTTAGTTCTTGTTCAACAAATAAAAAAAGTAAAGCATTTAATCTTTCTTGGCCGATAGTATTCCTTAACTTGTTCTTGACAATAGTTAATTTCGAAAACGTACGCTCACAAGTACAGCTCGTAACAGGAATGATTATAAACATCTTAAGACAACAAAAAAATTGCTTGAAAATGGAAGATCTATCATACTGACTTAACCAATCAAGTTAATTAAACACTGAAACAGAATTTGTTCCCTTTGGTGTTTTAGTTTTAATAGCACTTAAAATTTTAACTTCAGCGCGCAATTCTTCAGTTAAAATACCAAAATATTTAGACAATAAATCATAACTTGTAGTTTCTATCTCAGTGCTTAAATTTGTCAACATTCCAACAGCATGTATTAAGTCTAATGTATCTTGTTTAAATCTAGTGTCTAATCCTTGACATAGTGTGTCCAAAGTATAATAAAATACCAGCACTCTGAGTTCATCATATTTGGTTTCAAATAAATGTTGATTTTTATTATCATCTAATTTTCTTGGTATAGTTTTTTTTTTCACTGTTGGAATTTCTATATTTATTTCTTTGCACATTTTTTCTGTATTTTCAAAAATAAGTTGATAATCAATAGGAGAGTTTCTTAATGAATTTAAAGACACTTTTAAAGATTTTATAGATTCAATTGCAGTTAATAATTCCAAGTTTGGCGTTTGTAAAAAAGAGCTTACTTTTAATACAATTTGCAAAATGGGGTGCATCATATTTAAGCAAAATACAAAGTTAAAACTTTTTAGTTGATATAAGAGGCCTTGACCTTTGGCTCTCATTTCAGGTACTGAACAATTAGAAATTATTTCTTTTAAAGTTCTAAGTAATACCAAATAATTATTTTTAATAGCACTTACGGCTTCTGCTCGACATGCCCATCTGGTCGTTGAACATGATTTTAACGTTTGTACAGATCCACCATTTTCTTTTGATATTTTTTCAAACACAGCATGTCGCATTGGACTACCTTCAATAAACGAGTAAACAAACTGGACAGTGCCCAGAAAGTTAAATACAGTTCTATCTTTCTTAACATCTCTTTTACTATTAGAACTAGCGCATATAGAATCAATTAATGATAAGTTTAAACAGTGTGCATAACAATGCACATATAAAATATTACTATTCTTTTCTTTGCATTTTGCTTGAACTCCTCCAATATTCCCTGCCATTGTTGATGCACCATCAAAACATACAGAAAGTACTGAAGTCCATTGTAACCCTAATTCAATAGTTAGAACATCATCTACAGTTTGAAAAATTGAATTAGCAGTAACAGAAATCATCCTTTTTAATGTTATAAAACTTTCAACTGGCCGATAAGTTGCAGAATCAAAATAACGAACAACTATTGACAATTGTTCTTCATGTCCAATGTCACTTGTTTCGTCAGCAATAATTGAAACATAAGAATTTTGTAAATTACTCTGAATTTTTTTCAATAAAACTTTATGTATTGAAAATATTATGTCATTTTGAATTCTGTTGCTAATATATTGAGCATTTTTAGGTCCAAAATTTACATGGTTTTTCAAAACATCATCATATTTAACTAATAAGTTGACTAATTCTCTAAAGAGACCTTGCTGGTGACCATCATTTTTTTCGTTATGGCCACGAAATGGTCGTCCTCCTTTAGCAAGACATATTGTAATATTTATTAATCGTTCCATAATTTTACGATTATTAGACTGTTCAATCTCACGTTTTTGCACAACTAATTTCATGTTAGAATCTATTATTTCATCAATAGATTTAGAATTTAAAAATTCAGATAATGATTTAGCGCTGTTAATATGAGCTTTTGATTGTTGATGTTTTTTAAACCTATCTATAGCTCTATACCAATTTTTAAAACCAATTTTAGAAAAAACATATTCTAATTGACTTGAGTTTCCCTCATTACCAGAAAAACAACGACAAGGAAAACAAAATACTGTGTCAGCTACAATACTATATTCAAGCCATTTGAATTCTTTATACCAACCTTCTTGAAATGACCGGAAATATTGTCCTTGTTTAGTTATTGGGAATAATGACAAAACTGGACGATAAGACCCTTTGAGTATTCTTTCTTTCAGTTCAAGTCTGTTGGTAGGTAGACAATGAATTGGATCGTTTATGTTAGAAGTTTCACCTTAAGTATAACATTTTTACTTAATTTAATACATTCATTTTTTAATATTTCATTCTGTATTTAATATTTTAATATTTTTTCCAATAATAATTTAAAAATTATTTATATTTACCTGTAGATTCTGTTTCTAATTGTTTCACAAAAGAATTTGTTAATGATAAATTGTCATTTTCTACAGTAGCCTGATCAGTTTTTATACTATGTTTAGCGACTTCAGCACCAGTATGTATAAATAACTCTCCAACTATATAAAAAATGTATGATATAAGTACTTGTGTTAATTTAACATTTTAATATTTTTCCAATAATAATTTAAAAAATATTTATTTTTACTTGTAGATTCTGTTTCTAATTGTTTCACAAAAGAATTTGTTAATGATAAATTGTCATTTTCTACAGTAGCCTGATCAGTTTTTATACTATGTTTAGCGACTTCAGGACCGGTATGTATAAATAACCCTCCAACTATATAAAAAATGTATGATATAAGTACTTGTATTAATTTAACATTTTAATATTTTTCCAATTATAATTTAAAAAATATTTATTTTTACCTGTAGATTCTGTTTCTAATTGTTTCACAAAAGAATTTGTTAATGATAAATTGTCATTTTCTACAGTAGCCTGATCAGTTTTTATACCATGTTCAGTGACTTCAGTACTTGATCCTTTAAAATAGTTAATAAATTATAAACCAAAATCAGATTGTATAAAAAAACCAAACCGAATTACTTATTTTATTATAATACTTAGATATACATGGGTACATTGTGCATATTTTAATAATATTCAATGCTAAATTTGTTTACATAGTTAGTAGGTACCTATTAATTATAATTTATAAAAGATATTCAAATACAAACAATTTAAACAAAAATTGAATTTGTATGCTAACAAATAAATGTACTTTATAAACTATATATAGGTATCTATTATGATTATTTGTAAAATGTAAATAATTTAAATTGTATGTACACAAATCGAGATTAAGTAAAAAGTTTATGATGGTATTTATCATCAAATAGTAGGTATAAATTAATAAGTACCTACCGATACACTTATTGTTAATTATTAAATTATTATTCATTTTATTTCATTTTATAAATTATATTAATTATTACCAGTAGATTCTGTAAGCTCCTTATTTGATGAGTTGTGTGTATAATTTTTTACTTTGAAAAAATCATATATTTTGGTACATTTTTCTCCTACTGATGCCAAAAGTTTCATTTTTTTCTCTCGGATTTTCTCTGCACCACCTTTACGTTTATTTTAATTCATTTGAATTATATTTTTAACAACTAATATTATTCAAGTATAAAAAGATTCAAAATAATTAAAATTGCACTGTTAAAACTGTTAAACGTATGGTTAAGACAACAAAACTACAAAACAATGTTGCATAAATGCGTGATATTATACGCGACTGCCGACTAGTGAAGACTAGGCGAGTATGCATCAACAACAATCAACAGCAAACGTGATAATGACAAATCGAATGTAATAAAGTATTAATAGAATGAGGGAGTGATGGTGAGGGAGAGGGACAGTGGTAAATTGATAATGAAATTATTAATAGTATCTGTGTACTGCATCGTTATGACGGAACACGGGAATCATGTTTATTTTTAGTTTACATTTTTCAATAAATTATACTATTGTCTATTACTATATAGATAAATTCTCATACTATGCATTTATGCACATGTCTGGTGCCACATGATAGTATGATACATCTGTAATTAACAATGGTCATTGGTCATAGAATACTTTAGAAGTCTGTTGTCGCTGTGTTTTTTTGTCTTTTTGGATAACCAACTCATTTTTTATTGAGCATTACCGGTGTGGTGGCCCAGCTTGGACCAGTTCGGCCCATACAAATATATTCAAACTGTTCAGGGGCAGCAAGAGCACACCTTGCTGCCCTGTGCGCACGCCTATGGTACTTAGTAAACGAAAGCGCCTGGCGACTAATGCCGGTATGACGCGAAACATATACGCGCGTCAAGGAACTAATGCCGGTATGACGTGAAACGTATACGCGCGCGTGGTTTTTGATTTTTCCGGCAGTGTTCCGGAAGGAGTCGAAAGACTTAACATATATATTCGGAAAGCCAGGAAAATTTACTACCCGACGAGATAAATTAAAAGAACCACCGGGCTTTCTAAGTAACCGTACTTATACTCTGTTCAAAATAAGATCGTGACCCGGCGGCCGAGTTGTGCGCATGGGCGTTGCTTTGTTCCGTGGCTGCGTCCGACGCGTCGCTGTAGTAGGGACGGCATCTGGCCATATGTCTGACCGCCGCCCGACGAAAACTGGTCGCCGCCGGGTCACGATCTTATTTTGAACAGAGTATAGTAAACATACAATAATGTTACATATTATATTATAAAATATAAATACAAATAAAAATATTTGTTAGTCATTTGATTAAGTTAATTGATTAAATACAATAGTTTTCAATACAATATTTGATATAATAATTTTTTAATTCAATTTTAATTTTTTTTTTTTTCATATATTCATCTACGTATTCCAGTAAAATTTCTGGCTCTGGTATATACATTTTGTAATCGACCAGGTCCATGCAACATTGTTTTCCCAATCCCTCTTTCTTTTTCGATACATCATAATATAAATAGGTTACGATACTTTGGGTTATCCTTCTGATTTCATTTTTCGAAAACGGTTCGTCTAACCGTTCGTTTGTGCTTTCTATGTGTCTTGGTCGACACTTTGGTAAATTACCGCCTCCTACTGTGCTTGTGTCATGAGTTTCAAGCAAAATTGCATTGTCCAGATTGATACAGAACAGTTGATTTTTAGTCCTATAATTAGAATTTTGGTTAAATCCTTATAACTGCCTAATACGTACTAACTATAAATTATACATATTTTTTTTTTTAACTGGGATTTTCATAATACTTCTTCACATCATTCTTATGTACAGTGACCTTCTTCCTTCCCCTTTGAATAACAATGTTTTCAGTATCTAATATTTCTAAAATTTCGAAAGGTCCCTTCCATAGAGGTGTTAACTTATTTCTCTGAGTGTTATCTCGTAATAATATAGAATCCTTTAGAACAACTCTTCACTATGTGCATTGCTATCGTAATTTGTTTTTGATTTAATATTTTTCTTTATTAACCTTTCCCTTGCTATCTTATGAGACTCCTGCATTCTTTGTTTCAGGTCATACAAATAATCATCGTAATTGTATCTAGGGTCTGGTTTACTTTTCAAATTTACTGGAATGTTTATTTCCTTCCCATACAACAGTGTATAGGGTTGATAATTTGTGGACGAATGTTCTGTCGAATTGTAAACGAATAACGCATAAGGTAATAATTGATCCCAGGTGTTTAAATCTTTATCTACATAATGTCGAAGATATTCTGCTAAGGTTCTGTGCGATCTTTCCAATCCCCCATTGGTTTGTGGATGATACGGGCTAGTATTTATCTTATTAATTTTTAAAAGTTTACATACTTCAGTGAATGTTTTGCTTAGAAAATCTGTCCCTTGGTCAGTTAATATGGTCTCTGGTATTCCATGAAGACAAACGAAATGTACTACGAAAGCTTCAGCTACAGTATTGGCTGTGTGATTCGGTAAAGGCACCCCCAATGAATATTTG